TATTATCGTTATTATTATAAACATTGAAAAACCAAAACAACATGATACTTCTTGTGCATCACATGTGTATATTTCCCTATTTAATATAATAGTTATTAAATTTTGAATATAATATGGTAACTGTTTGGTATTATATCAAACAGTTATCGTCGTTTAAAAAACTGTAAGATTTAGTTATATTATTTTCTACATCATGTTATAGAATAATGATTAAATTGTTTAATTTTTATATTTAAATATAAACAATTATAAGTTGGAGTTTGCTATCCATATTAAAATTATGTCATGAGAGAAGTTTTAAAAAAGTATCTTAATAAAAAAACATCAAAATATTCATCTTTTTTTTTACACAAAACTTATGTTTAAGACAGGCTTTATTTCGCCCGTCTAAACTGACTTAGATGGGTGCGGAGACGGACACGGGCCATAGCCCGTCATTCCTGCTGAAGCCTGTATATATATATATATATATATATATATATATATATATATATATATATATATATATATATATATATATATATATATATATATATATACAGGGTGTTAACTAGGAATAAATTTGATACAACGCTTTGAAAAAATTGGGAATTTATTAAAAAATTTTGACAAATATACCACCCCCTCCCCTGAGATTAAAATGTGTACCGGGAATGTAAAGGGTCCTTTTCTTATATTCTTTCTTCTTCTACTCCACTTTAGCTCTGCATACATTGATTGGACAGCACGAAAAATAAAACAAAGTACTGCCTGTAACATTTATTGAAGATGAATATGAAATTAACACAAAATTAAACAAAATTTAAAAATGACAAGGCAAATTAAGCTCTGATTTCCAAAGATATATTCAGAATTATATGTTTTTATATTATAAAATAATCAGCGTGTAATAGTTATTATTAGGATATAATTTGACTTACTTTTAATCTTTATATGTTATATACTGTTGCCGCTTTCATGTTAAGAGTATTCTTTTGAATTTTTTTTTTTTTTTTTCACTGGTGAGCATTTAAGTGCAATTAATAATGTAATATAGTGATTTTTAAAGTAATATAGTATAATAATGATCTTCTACTTCTAACTATTATCTAAAGTCTGTTTGACGTCCTTTAGGGACAAACCCTTACACCATCATGTAATAAATTGTGTCATCAAAAGAAATGTTTTAAAAATAGAAAAATAAAAAAGATTTTGAAAATAGTAAACACAAGCTTGTAAATTTCATATTTCACATTTATTGCAAGTTCAATTTTATAAATAATATTAACCTTCTTTATACAAAAATTGCATTGCAAAATAAAGTTACAATGACAAAGTCTTAGCAAAAACAACAACAAATGTTATTTAATTACAGAAGAATTACAAAAGATCCCAAGCGATTGCATGCTATCGTGGCAACAAAGAATACCAATAATTATTTTTTCATGCATAGTCATAAAATGTTGCTATGACTATGGTTGATTGAAACATTTAAATTTGCTTGAATTTAAAATTTTTTCACTGCTTACTTGAATTTAAAACTTTTATGCTTTAAATTCAAGCAAGCAGTGAATCTAACTTTCTTGTTTTTTAATTTTCTAGTACCAGTTTGATGAAATAAAATAAAAAAATTCTTGTTATTAAAAGTATTTAATTTGCGTTTTAATATACGCATTTAATTTACATTTTAAATATAAGCAGTATTTTGTATAGATTTGTAAATAATAGTAAGTGTAATAATCAATATCCTTTAGATCATCTAATAACTGAAATTATTTTATTATTTTATTATAAGTCAATCTCAAACTATATATGCAAACTAACAAACAGCAGATATGTCTGTAAGCCAAACGCACAGTGTATGATACGTGCAAAACCCAAACTATATACTTCACTGGGCCCTACCATTGTCCATCATCACGCCATCTAGCTGATGCAACATTGCTAAACACAGGACCTAACTAAACCAAACAACCAATTAGCAATTAGATTGATGAATGAATGACAAAGGATGGTATGAATATACAGGCCATAGAACACGTACAAGCGACCATCAGGTAGCTATTATGTGAACAACGAACGCTCACGACAGTAAGATTTAGGCAATTTTAAACATAATTTTTTATAAATGTTGGGTGTTTAAACTTTAAACTATTAGTTTATGCAAACTGCATAACTGCTTGTAGTTTTATATTTAATTGTAATTTTTTGTCTGTTTTTTGCATTTACAGAAATTAATTCAAATTCTAATCTGTTTTAAAAACTATGAAACAATTATGTTATCAAGACATGCAGCTGCAAAAAATTATCATATATTTTTTGTTGAAGCTCACAAGTTACCAAACATTTAATTGCCAACCCACAAACAGGTTTGCAAAGCATACTTGTTTGAAAAGAGTTATGAAACTGAGCCACTACGAACTGTCTGTAAAAGACTGGCTAATAAACTCTTGCAAGTATGGATTAAAGCATCAATCCCTACAATAACTCTTTGAGGGATAGAAATCCAGTTGGAAAAGTATATAGGTTAAGTTCAGAAAGTAGCGCAATCAAAATCTGCAACACTTGAAAGAAAAGAAACAGAAACTAATCTTAATAAACTGTTTGATATTTGTTCATGTAAATGCAAAGAGTTTTCATCTTGCTGCTGCCCTCTTAATATTAAGGTAGCAGCAATTGAGCATAATTTTCTTACAGATCAGCGCACTGCAAGTATTGATCAAATAGCTGGTGTTGATAAAAAGAAATCTGCACTTGCTAAAAGGCGTCTAAAAAGGAAATCAGTGTTAAGATCAACAAATGAAATCAGTAACAAATATGTCAGAGTAGCTGAAGCATCAGATTCAGATAATGATACAGTTCAAACAACTGATTGACACTGAAACTTCTCGTCTCAAAAAACATTGCTTTAGAAACATTGCATTACAAGCAGATGGGTTTGGCATTTCAGATTGTGCAGTTGTTGCATTAGTATCAGCAACTCTTGTTGATTTTGGTTTAGAACATGAGACCAGTTGATCCCAATAAAATTTGGAGAGAAAGAAAACTTCTGAGATCAGCATATGAAAATTTTTATTGCAAGATTTCTGGGTTGTACTTTTATGGCAGAAAAGATCAGACTTTAAAACTTGTTGGAGACTGGCAGACTGTAGTTTCTGAAGAACATATTTCTCTATTATCAGAGCCAGGATCAAGATACATTGACCATTCTTTTTCAGTACGTGGTACAGCTAAATCCATTGCAGGATCAATTCTTGATACAGTAGACTGTACTAATCTTGTTTGTATTGGTTCAGATTCAACAAACATTAACACTGGTTTAAATAATGGAGTTATACGCAGAATGGAAAATGAACATGGTTGTCCACATCACTGGTCCATTTGTCTCTTACATCTGAATGAACTTCCTTTGTGACATCTATTTAGTTCCTTAGATGGTGCAACAACTGAACCAAATTCATTAAATGGACCTATTGGCAAGTCTATTTCAAAGCTATTGCAGCCACCCATATATAACTTTGCTGTTATTGCTGGTGAACCTATTAATTGTGATAAAGATTTATTAAGCAGTGATCAGTTGTACTTTTTTAAAATTGTTAATGCAGTGAAGAGGGGAATTGTACCACAGGGATTTAAATCCAGATTGCTTGGGCGGCTAAACCATGCAAGGTGGTTGACACTTGCAAATCGTGTTTTGCGCCTATATATATCTACTGTAGCTCCATCAAATGAACTTACACTATTATATCGTGAATTCTTATGCAGTTGTATGGTTTGATGTAAAAAATATTCAAATTGTCACTGAATCTGCACCTAAGGTTTATGGTCATGATAACCGTGATGGCTATATTCGTGTTCTTTAATAGCGCCAAAAATTAATGCCGCACTTTGATACTAAGTCTGAATTCAAACATGTTAATTGATAATATAAAAATCATGCATAATTTGTTTTTCTAATAGTATTAAGTGTTCAATAAATAAATGATGATATTCAATAAATGAATAAAGATAACTAAATATTCAATAAATGATATGTTACAAAATGACTGCAAATGCATATTCTCTAAGGAATTGATTAAAATTTTTAAAGGTTTGATCCAGCCTAAATATATATATATATATATATATATATATATATATATATATATATATATATATATATATATATATATATATATATATATATATATATATTTTGTGTGTGTGTGTGTGTGTGTGTGTGTGTGTGTGTGTGTGTGTGTGTGTGTGTGTGTGTGTGTGTGTGTGTCTATATATATATATATATATATATATATATATATATATATATATATATATATATATATATATATATATATATATATATATATATATACACCTTTTCCACATAACCACCTGTTGTTTTTAAGAAGATATAGAACATGTGTTTTGGCTTGTACAACATGAGTTGTGGGTGTCTGTCACATCTTACAATAGTTCTGGGACTTTCACCTTTACCAACCCACTAGAGTTAGTCATCTTTTGTCCAACTTGTCTCAAATAAAACCATGATTCAACCCCTGTAATAATATCACATAGTCTTCATGGGTTGTTTCTGAAAAAGGCTAAATGAGTTGTTTCTGAAAAAAGTTGTTTCTTTTCCTCACATGCCCCAATAAATAAATATTTTAATGTTCAGATTGAAATTTTTCCAATATTTAACTAATATATGTAATTCATAGATATAATGATAAGTCATCCAAATCAAAGCTTTTCCTCTCCACTACTCAATTAGGATACAGACACCTTTTAGCCAACCAGTATTTGTGATTGTGGTGTAAAAAGACAGACAATTAACATATTCAAAAAGCTCCCAGTTTTGTAAAGTTTTTTTGATTGATCATTCGCAAAAATAAGATAAAAAATTTTTTTCTTATTTTTGATAAAAATTAACATAAAATTTTTTTGGTAAGAGTCCTTAATTTTAACATAATAACTGCTTTTAAAGGGCTTAAATTTCTTCATTAAATACAGCTATATTAATTATGACTTAATACACATACCATCTATGTCCCATATTTTCCATGTTCCATCTTTTGAAACAGTTGCTGCCCTAAAATTCACAAAAAATTCACTTTTTTTTAATAGATAATCAAATTATAACAAATAAAAAACTAATTAAAATGAAAAATATAAAATATTATTTAGCAAACTTTTATAAAAAAATTTAGCAAACCTTTTTGAGTCATTAGAAAAGGAAAATGATAGTACGCCAGCTGAATGTCCTTTTAATTCTAAGGCCTTTGAAACCTTTAAAATAAAATGTATTTTGAATTTTAATACCCTAATTTTTTTTAATTTTTTTTTTTTTTAATTATCTTCGCTTCCAACAAGGCTGCAAGCAACCACTAATTAGTGTTGGAAGTTACTGGAAGAGAAAAGATGAAGATTGCAGAGCAAGATTCAAAATTGTAGAGAAATATTCAAATTCAAGATTGTAGAGAAATATTTAAAAGTTTTATTTCAAGTATGTATCAATATATTGTAGTAAACATTTTACTAAAGATACAACATTGTTAAACTTTTATTTAACATTTTAGCCATAAACTTTTATTTTAAAGTGACTGCATTGATACATTCAATATTATATCTTTTTTATTCAAATTTGTGTCCAATTTTTATATACATGTAGGAATATTTTTATATAAACATGTATATGCAAAAATATATAATAGAGATAAATATACATGAATATTTGGTGACTATTTAGTATTAGGCTTATTCTGCTACTTTTTTACTATTCAGTATTCAACCAAATATTGCAAACTATTCAACTGAATACCAAATTGTAACAACAAAAAAACGTATAAAAACAGATTATAAAAAACTTTTTTTTTTTATTTTCAATTTTAACACATAATTGACATATTTGATACTTAAAATCTATAGATGGTATAGAAGTTATGAAAAAAACATTGTCATTGTAAAAATTTGCTGTCTAATATAAGCAAATAGTTTCATACAAAAACCAATTTTATTTGCAATTTTCTATTCCACATTTGCAAGTTTCCATTTCCAATTCACACTTCCAAGGAGACGCGTGTAGTTTTTTTTATTGTATGTTCATGCATGAGTATTTTATTTTAGACAACTTGGTCACGGCCATTTGCAAGTTTTATTATACTAAGTTTTGTGGAAAAAAGTTTTAAAAGAAAACAAAACAAAACTAACAAAATAAGAAATTATAATAAACTTAAATTGAAAAAACTTATACAAATTAATCATCTATGTAATGCATGCGCATATTTTTATTTACTTTTTTTAGTATATTATTATATTTATTTGTTCATTATTATACGCACGTTTAGCTTATTTGAATAAAGCGTTTACTACGCACACGGAATGACTGTGGTTTAAATCCATTTTTTTATTGTTTTTCTTTTAAACACCGCTGTTCTTATTTGCTTTGTAACCATTTTATCTTTACTTTATTGTATATGAAAAATCTTTCTGTTGTATATTTTTGGATGATACACATCTCTTCTTATTTAGATTTCTTATACCATTGAAGCCTCTCAGTATATTTTCAACATAAAGTGTGCATTCATATACATATTTTTCAAGCTTTAATTAGGCCTGCGGTCACATTTTTTGCTTTAATTGTTTTATATTACTTTTCTATTACTGCATATTTTTAATCGTTTAGTTGTTTGTAATTTTAATATCTTTTTATATCTAAATATCTTTTTGCAGTTTAAATTCGAAAAAATTGAAATTTTATCTTTTTAAGGTTTGAGTTATTAAAATTAAAAAAATAACAAAATGATTTTTTTTTTTTTTCGTAAAACAATGTAGTATTATTTCAATAAAAAGTGGCTTTGATCTTTTTAATGATATTTGTTAATCATTTTATTCCACAAATTAGTTATAATTATCAGGTTGGTATTTTTTTACTAAATGTTATTTTTTTTTTTTAATTAATTTAAAGCCTTCATAATACCAAGTAGTCTGGCTAATATGAGCACTTTTACTGCTTTTTTAACACCAAAGCTGAAACTAAAGCTGGTTGCAAAGCTGTAACTGCTGAATCCGAAATGATGATCCTTGGGTGCATTTTAAGACCTTCGGCTAGCAGTCCTGTGAGGGTTACTGGGCTTCGATGAGAAATATATGTTAGTGTCTGCTTCTTTACTCTGATACTAGTTCCATTGACACACCAATAACATCTTTGAGGTAAATGCTGCAGGATCTTCCTTAGCTGCTAAAGGTTGTGTCAGTGTTTGCTAATATACTATTTGCTGGGATAGCTGAGTGAAACTTTATGCCTAGGGTTCGGCGGATGTCTTAATGACTTTGTCGGCACCTGCCAGTATTCATGAGCTCCTTTTGAGTTTTATGGACTGTGCAGGTAGTATTGTTGCAAAGAAGAAATTTTTGCAACAATACTACCTGCTACTAATTCAAAAAAAAAATTATGGTATCCAAATATCCAAGTTTTTTAGATCTTTTTTTACAAGAAAACCTTTTTTACAAACAAATGTCTTTTTGTTATTGCACAATTCAATGTAAAAAGGTCCTTTCTGATGCTAAGCTCCATTGTTTTCAGTTTACTAAATCTTGTATCTTATCTCAGATGTTAGGTTTTACAGACATTTAGAAAATCTTCAACAGTGTCATTAACTAAAGTCTAACATTCCATATTAAATTCATGGGTCTGATCTTATTACAAACAATTTAGCCTTATTTTTCTCAGAATAAGGCTAAATTATTTGCAAAGAACTTTTCCTCTAATTTTCCTCTTATGGCTATACTATCCCTGTCATTCGAGTAAAACAGATTAACCCATTAATAGACATCCAAATCAACCCGGCTTCAAATTGGCTTCCAAAGTCATAAATCAAATAAACTCATCTGTGGCTTGTGGTCCCGACAACATTCCTGTCATAGTAAAAAATGTTTACCAGAGTTTTTTTTGATTCTCTTTGATATATATATATATATATATATATATATATATATATATATATATATATATATATATATATATATATATATATATATATATATATATATATATATATAATATATATATATATATATATATATATATATATATATATATATATATATATATATATATATATATATATAGATATATATATATATATATATATATATATATATATATATATATATATATTTATGCCAATATTTGATTAATAGTTAATGAATGCATAAATTTATAATATATAAAAGTATTATAAATTTCAGCTATTAACTCCTGTCAAATCTTATCGTTTTGCTGGAGGCCAAGTTTGTAAAAAGTCTAATTTTTAGTCAAGGCCGGTGCCCCCGCCACTTACTAACCACGAACTTAGCCATGTACTTTTGTTTACACCAATCCCAATTTGTCAGTCAACGTATGCACATATATTATGCATACATGTCACATCAAATTAAAAAACAATTGAGCCATTCAAAAATGTTGGGTTTTTCAAGGATATATTGATCTTTTCTCAACCAGAAGAAAACAAAATATGTTGATTTAAAATATGAAAATGAAAAAAAATTAAATAATTAGTAGATGCTAATAATACTGACAGTAACATGAAAAAAAATTAAATAATTAGTAGATGCTAATAATACTGACAGTAACATGAAAAAAAAATGTTTGTATTACAAAAAGTACATATTTAAAATAAAACAAAGTAGAAAAGAAGTATTCTTTGTTTAATTACAATTTTTAGATTCCAGTTTGATTTCAAATACCTAATGTAGTGCAAACATTTTTTTAAAAAAACAGAAAACCTAATCTAATTATGTAAATCTTTCGAAAAACTCTGTGGTAGGTATATTGATTATTCAAACCAGATGTTTTTACTATGGAGATTTATGAAGTTAATACTTACCTCTCAATTACAACAAATGTTTATTTTTAAAATCTCAATAAATAAATTGTTTAGGTGATTTTGTAAAGAATTAAAAAATAAAAAAACTTTGGCACATAGAAAGCCCTTTAAGAAGTCAAGATCACAAAATACTTAAAACAAAAAAAAAATTAATAAAAAAAGTTCTTCAAAAAAGAAAAAGAATCCTTTAGAAAAAAAATTCTTAAAACTAGAAAAAAAGTTTTTGAAATAAAAAAAATATTTTTCGAAAAAATAAAAGTTCTTAAAACAGCAAAAAAAATCTTTTTTTAAAAAAAAAGTTTTTGAAAAAAGTAAAAAAATTCCATTTTAAATGAAAAAAATTTTAAAACAAGAAGAACGTTCTTATTTTTGGCAAAAAATATCTTGAAACAAGAAAACTTGTAACGTAAGCTTTTTTTTCATGTTTCAAGATATTTTTTGCCAAAAATATGAACGTTCTTCTTGTTTTAAAATTTTTTTTTATTTAAAATGGAATTTTTTTTGCTTAAAATAACAATTTTGCAGTGTTTTAAATAGTAAGACAAAAGATGACAAAAAAATTCTCTTAAATCTAATTATTATATACTTTTTTTATCACAACATGAAAACAATTTTTAAAAACCATAAAAATAACAACTTTAATGTCTAATCTTTTAAAATGTTTGTTCTTTTATAGTTTATTTTCATTTAAATTTTCTTTTTTCTTTTTTAATTTAATTTTATTTATTTTTCTTTGTTTATATTTTTAAGTGCTTTATTTTATCCTGATATTACTTTTTATTATTATTAGATTTAAAGTTATATATTATAGAAAAAAATTTAAGACTACCAAGGATTTATATTCACTGAAATTTACAAATGAATCATGTTTGTTAAAGAAGCATAAATTTCATTAAAGCATTTTAAAAATGTCAACAATCTAACTTATTGTACCTGAGAAAAAGATCCAGTTTTATCAAAAACGATTTGCCAAAGTTTAACATCAGAAGTGAACCCTAAAAAGTGAAAAAAAAATTTTTTTAATCAAAAATATAAAAAAATTGTATGGCAACAAATATCTTTATTAATTTTTGCAACTAGGGCTTTGGAGCAGCCTAATTTTTGATGGTGCTTCATTCCAGCATTACATCGCTGCTTTGGCTCTTTTCCATGGTCCAAGAACAATATTTTTTGTTGTTAAAGGTACATATATGTTGAATTACTTACATGTATGTACTTATGTTGCATATGCAAAGCAGAATATTGTGTTTTGTTAATATGATCATATGTATTTCTCCAAAATTCACATTTTCTTTTAAAATGTTTTCTTTTGGCAATGTTATGTGTTTATTAACTTTTTTCCTTTTTTTATTATAGAACCAAACATTGATTTTATAAAAATTTCAATTTCCACAAGTTGCTGAATTTTCTTTATGTAGCACAAAAACATTTACTGTGCAACAAAAAACAACCTTCTAATCTCGTGTTTCATAAACATTTAAACAATGGAAATGAGCAGAAAAATTTATTAGATTTTCATGTATGTATTTACTAGTTCAGTACATCTATTAAATTTTATTTTTTATTTTTATTTTAGCAAGTTTATTAAATTATTACATCTTAGTAGATGTAATAATTGATTTTTTTTAATAAACCACAAGATTCATTAACACTAAAAATTAAACAAAAGCAATAAACAAAATATTTTTTCAAAAACATGGAAGCTGCAAAGCCATGAAAATTATTGTCTAATCTCCACTTAATCTCTGGGAAAATCTTGCGCTTTGTGAAAAAAATGATTAAATATCTTGTAAATGAAAACAAACTTACTCACAATCTGACATCAACAAATAGATACAATTATACAAACACAATGGCAACTTCATTTGTATATTTGGAATATGATTTATGGTTGCAATTTTAGAACTAATTCGCTAATTAAAGTCAACAACTGACTCTGATTGGATATGAAAAGCAACAACTGACTCTGAATGGATATGAAAGTCAACAACAGACTCTGAATGGATATGAAAGTCAACAACAGACTCTGAATGGATATGAAAAGCAACAACTGACTCTGAATGGATATGAAAGTCAACAACTGACTCTGATTGGATATGAAAAGCAACAACTGACTCTGAATGGATATGAAAAGCAACAACTGACTCTGAATGGATATGAAAGTCAACAACTTACTATGAATGGATATGAAAATCAACAACTGACTCTGAATGGATATGAAAGTCAACAACTGACTCTGAATGGATATGAATGTCAACAACTGACTCTGAATGGATATGAAAGTCAACAACTGACTCTGAAAGGATATGAAAAGCAACAACTGACTCTGAATGGATATGAAAGTCAACAACAGACTCTGAATGGATATGAAAGTCAACAACTGACTCTGAATGGATATGAAAGTCAACAACTGACTCTGAATGGATATGAAAGTCAACAACTGACTCTGAATGGATATGAATGTCAACAACTGACTCTGAATGGATATGAATGTCAACAACTGACTCTGAATGGATATGAAAGTCAACAACTGACTCTGAATGGATATGAAAGTTAACAACTGACTCTGAATGGATATGAAAGTCAACAACTGACTCTGAATGGATATGAAAGTCAACAACTGACTCTGATTGGATATGAAAAGCAACAACAGACTCTGAATGGATATGAAAAGCAACAACTGACTCTGAATGGATATAAAAGTCAACAACTTACTCTGAATGGATATGAAAGTCAACAACTGACTCTGATTGGATATGAAAAGCAACAACAGACTCTGAATGGATATTAAATTAAACAATTAATTCTGAATGGATGTGAAGGTCAACATTTTACTCTTTTTTTGCATATCCTAATTTTTTTGCTATATACTTTAAGAAGTTTGAAAAAAAAATTTTTTAATAATAAGTTCAAAAAAAACATCTTATGGTTTTTATGATGGTTAGAAATTAAAAACGAAAGACAAATCATGGATATTGGGATGAAAGAAATATGAAATAAGCTATCAAAGCTGTAAAGCAGTTAATAAATATTTGTAAAGCTTATTCTTTATTATAGAATGTAAAGCTGAGTACACACCAGAGCAAAAAAATATGTTATCAATTGTCAGAAGAAGAAATTAATATTGCAACTCCAACACAGGCAGGTATTTACAAAGCAGTTATGAAAGAAGCTGAACTTTTATGAACAGGCGTGTTTTTGCAATGTAAGAAAAAAATTGTAGTAGTTTTATGTTTTTAGTATATATATATCTGTAATATCGGAATTATTATCAAAACTATCTTCTATCTTCAAATATGTCAAACTATCTTCAAAATTTAGTCAATTTTTATGAAGACTAAAATAAAGTTTAAACTATAAAACAATGCCATCAAATTTTTCAAAATAGTAAACGTTCAGGGAAGTGATGATAATATGGGAATAATGTTTATTAAAAGTTATAGAGAATTCAACAAATTTTGAAAAAAAGGAAAAAAAACTTGATATGCTTTTTATGTCTCTTTGTGAACATATACAAACATTTGTATTCTCAGAAAAATATAAAATTGAAATTAATCTTTTTTGTTTTACTGCTTTAAAAATGTATATGAGCAACAAATGTAACTATATGCAACACACATAGCTCAAAATCAACATGTTTAATAAAGTAAGCATTAAATACCAAATAATATTTTTCATTTTTAAAGTTTTTACTTTTTACTTAAATCTGTTTTTAAAATAATAAATTTAGTATAAGATTTTAAAAAATAATAGAATTAGTACATACTAAAACACAAGAAATTGTGTCAATAAAGATGATATTTTGATGGGAACCTCCTTATTTTAAGACTTCAGAGATCCTTTTTGGCCCTGAATTTTGACACCATTTTCGAGTTTTCTCTTGCAACCATGCTCAATTACATCTTTAAGTGCATCAGTACAAAAGTAGACCATTTACTAACAGACCATTTAAAAGTACCAGATCAGAAGTTTAAGACCAACTTTAAACTATGATGGATGAAATAAGGACTGAAAAATGTTTTTTAAAAATTATGATAAATAAAATAAGGAAATTTTACTTAAAAAAAAACAAACTATGATTGATGAAATAATGATTGAAAACTATTAAAAGTTATATACCTATTTGATTTGTTGAATTTTTAATTCAATTATAACTGATTAAAAAAATAATAAACTAATTGATCTTTAAAGTGAAAAGAATAAGTAAGTAGTGAACAGACAGTAAAGAGTTGTTACAAAATAAGTAGTGAGATATTCAGCCCTTGGAATTAGGGTCGGCATTCAGCAATGCTGACCACAAAGTGTTTAAGATCAGCTAAAAATTCTGATTTCATTTCAATGTTTTATGATAAGATCTTTGTTTCAAATTTTTTTTGCCGACCTCATTTTCCTTAATTCTGAAGGTTGGATAATTAATTTTTTTAATCTACTCAAGTAAAAGCATCTGGAAAATGTTGTTATATTTGATTGTTTAAATTTATATAGGTTACTAGCATTATTAAGTAAAGTTAACCATTTAAATTATTCTTTTTTAAGTTTCCGAAAATTTTGCTTGGATAATTTAAGTCTGTTCAGTAAAAAAAAACTTTAGAAATTTAATGTGAATTCAATATGAATTCGATGTGAATTCGGTGTGCATAATTCTTACTATTATGTTATTACAATAATAAAACATTTGTTAATATGAAACTTTTTATATCAAAAAAATCTCACCACATGCTGCTATAAGATTTCCACATGGTAAAATATCAGCATTGGTGTTGTAAACAAGCCGTGTATCTATTTTTTCATAAACATCACCTATAATTGAAATTTTAAGTTTACTTAAAATTTAAGTTCTTTACAAATAATACCACAGGCCGACAAATATCTGGCCTGTGTATATTTAAAATTTGAGTAGGCCTACCTTTTAAAAAATTTGAGTAGGCCTACCTTTTAAGCTCCAGATTATTATTTGTGTATCTTTCCCAGCTGACATGATAAACTTGCCATTACTAGATATTGCTGCATTTATTATTTCTGTCTTATGAATTTTGGGAAAATCATACTCATGAGTTACATTCATTACAGAGTTTCCATTTTCTTTTTTCTTATGAATCTTAAAAACTCGAATGGTTTGTTCAACAGCTAATGAAACTATGAATGCTCTGAAAAAAAAAAATTTTTTTTTCAAGTACATTTTTTTTAGTTAAAAACAATTATCATAAAAAATTATTTCATTATTATTATACCATATAGTTGTAATTATAAAATTAAAATAAAATTAAAAAAAATTTAGGGCAGTTTAAGCTGCTTATCCACAATAAAGGTTTTTTTCTAGATAAGTATCTAATAAAAACTGTGATATAAAGCCCAATTTAATTGTTCAAGGGTTGTAGGAGACCCCAATTTCATTGTGGGTATTGGTAGAAAGAGTTCAGAATGAACATTATAAAAATTGTTTTAACTCTTCGACATAATTTTCAAATTAAAAAGAAATTAAAGGAATATGGAAAGATGTATTTTTATTTTATTATTAATGTCCACAGTGTTCCTAAATTTTATGAGTTTTTTTTTTTAATTTAAATTAAAAAAAAAAGAATATTTATTTATACAGTATTTATTTTTACAATATTTACAACAAAGTAAAAACTATCTTTTAAAATATCTTTTAAATTAGCATTACTTTTATTTTATTTGTTTTTCAAATAACTCACTTTTTTCTAACAAATGTAGTTGAACCTAATTTAAATATATATATATATATATATATATATATATATATATATATATATATATATATATATATATATATATATATATATATATATATATATACATATATATATATATATATATATATATATATATATATATATATATATATATATATATATATATATATATATATATATATATATATATATATATATATATATATATATATATATATATATATATATATATATATATATATATATATATATATATATATATATATACACATATTAGGCCTCTGTCTAAAAACACTTTTTTTTTGTTGGCTCACTTTGGGATTTATGTAAGCCATAAATGTAAATATAATTCCGAAAAAATTATACAATTTGGAGTTATAATCATTTTGGGAAATCATTTTAAAGTTTTTAATTATTTGTGTTTTTTTTTCAAATATTTAAATTAATTAAATATTTTGCAAAATCATAAATATCTGTGACAGAAACTTTTTACAAGTCTTGCCTTGTTTTCAAGATGTTTTATGAAAGCTTATTGGCTAATGTCACGTAGAAACGAAGGTTCGTAAAAAGTTTCCTTCGCAGATGTTTATGAAAAGTTCTATTAAATATTAGTTCAAAACTAGAAAATCGGATTTTCTAGTTTTTAACTTGATTGATAACAAAAAGTTCTTCAAAATTGTGTTTAAAAATAGCTTAGACCAGGGTCTTTTTAGCATATACTGGAACTTCAACGATTTTATAGACCTCACAATGAAAATACACCAAGTTTGATGTTGTAATAACATTTTTGAATGTCTTTTCATAAAAGAGTACATTGAACTCAATTTTATACATGTCTTAATCATCAGAGTCATAGAAAAAATTTCAATATCAATAATATTGATATATTATATATTATAGTTTTATATTGCATTCAAGATTGTAAAATTACTCTGAGAAAAATATTCTGACTTTTTCAAATTTCTCTTGTTTTCGGCTCTGCTTTGGCTTTTAGCTAGAATGAAGTTATGTCTCTTCACCCGTCCATAAACCTTTTTAGAAGCTTCAGATGTGAGTTTTACAGCTCTTTCCACTGACTGAGAATTGTTTGGCAAATCAGTTAGAGAAAGTTTATTGCCGGTTTGAATAGCTTGTTTTAATTCATTTGAAGAAACAAAAATTGAAGTAGGAGGTTCAATTTGTATTAAAGAAACTTCAATTAAGTCGGTCCAAACATCAGCATAGAAGTTCAAGATCATAATTGTCTTAGCTTTGATTTTAGGTTTAAAATCTGGATTTGTTTCCCTAGATAACCTTATCTCCAAAATTTGATTGAGAGCACAATCTCTTACAACTTTTTTATTGTCTAGCAGCATAGCATAAAGAAAATTTTTTTGACAGCAGCAATAGGAGTTACCCTAAAGATTTTTCAATACAATCTTTTCAATTCTGTCATCCTGTTTTTTGACTAACTGTATTGTTTTATGGAGGAGCTTTGGTGCATCTTTATAATGCGCTGAACTTTTTACAGCAAACCACATTGGACAGTAGACTTGAACTATGTACTTTGTGATGCATTTTAGGTCATGTATAGGTATCTCAGTTCTTGTATAAACCATCATAATTCTTAAAGCAAGAAATTATGATGGTTAGCCAGTGTGCATGACAGACAGGACCATACAATACTCATAAAGTTTACGCTGGTCTGTACTTAGATTGCAAACAATGCCGGGATTTACATAAAACTCTATCTCGGAATCTATAGGAATAAACTTAACCAAAGATTGTTCGTGCATGAATTTATTAGACGCTTGTATACCAATAGGGCCTTTATATTTTTTAGGATCATTAGTTTGTCCATCTATTTCAGATATAACATGACGAAGAGGTAGCTCACCCTGGTGAAGCAAACATCTAACTAAACGAATGCTACAATTCACAAGCTTATCTAATTTCACAACTAAATCATTATCTACACCAGTGTTAGAACTTGTATTGTCAAGAACAATTGCTTCTTGTAATTTCCCCCATTACTCTTGTATTTCACCACATGAACTAATGAAATTTTGTCTTTTTTGCTATCAACCCCAATAACTTTTATTTCTAAAACCTCTTGATGATGCTTAGTGTCAGTTGGTTTAGCTACTCGGGCTTTTTCACAAAATACTTTATATTCTGTAATTATCTGAGATTTTTTATTCTTACTTACTATTCCGTGGTCAATTAATACAGCTGTTGCTGCTGCAGCATCGCTTACTTTGTATCTTATTGCAGCCTTGGCTAATTAGTTAATTCTGTGTAATTTCTTTCACTATTTGCTCCTCAAACTCTTCACTTTCAGTTGTATCTAAACTTGAAAGTTCAGCACTAAAACTACTAATCGAATCCACATCTGATGTTTAAAATTTGTGGACCTTTTTTTTTACATTTTTTAAAGCAAATATTGTTATTTTTGCAAAAAACCACCTATTTTCTGCTAAAGTTTGCCAGAACGAGGGGGTACTGTCGCCCAAATTTTTTTCCTAGAATAGGCCCTGTATATATATATATATATATATATATATATATATATATATATATATATATATATATATATATATATATATATATATATATATATATATATATATATATATATATTCATATAAAATTTTTTAATTTTTTAAATTTAGATACTATTTATACTCGCGCCACTCTTTTAAAGTTTAACATTTTTACATTTTTTGAGTTTTCACAGGCATTTTCAAACAATCGGAGCAAATAGAAATTTACAAATCATTAACTATATAATAAAGTCATAACAAGTAATAAAAGGTTTTTTATCTGTACGGATTATGCGCATTTTTATTACTATTATTTTTGTTAACTGGTGGTAATTTAAAAATGCACAAATTCGTTATGAAATGAAAAAATATGTGGTTTTTAAACACGTTAGCGTTAAATTCGTTAGATGCTTTATATCTCATACAGTTCACCCACGCCAAGCCCTGGCTATTTAAAAGGAGTTTATACAAAATTAGCTAAGTTTCCTGGCTGACCATTATTTTTGTTAACCTCCTGCCATTATGTCGGAGAGCTAATATAGTTGTAGCCGTAAATAACTGTTAACCTGGGGAATAATCTATTCATATCATAAAACCATAAAAGGTTAAAAAACTGTAAGGTAAAGATAAAACTGCTACACATTAAAATATCTTTTTGCAAAAACAAAAAGGAATAAGTCTCTAATTTGACAAATGTGGAGCTGTGAAATTCATGAAATTCAATGAATTTCATGAAATTTAATGAATTTCATGAAATTCAAGCTGCATTTCTCTAAAATCAGGCAGGTTTTTATTCTGAGTAATAAAATACTCAAAGAGATTAATAGAATGGCTGCCTAATTTCTCTCTCCAGGGAATCACGGATTATGATCTGCGACTTTTCTGATTCTGCATTTTTTTAAAGTTAATTTCATTTCACAAATTTCATAAGTTTTGATATTTGCTCAAGTTAATTCTATAAGTTTTGATATTTTAGTCTTGTTATTTAAAAATAATTTATGTCATAAAGTAACAAAATGTTTAAAAGCTATGGTTAGCAAAATGGTGTAAAATCAGATGTAAAATACAAAGAAAATAACTCTAAACCAATTTTTTTTTCTAACGACAGACTTTTATTAAAATAAGTAGAAATATAATAAAAATGAAATCAATAAAAATAGCATTTTGGTTTTATCTTTTCAAAAATAAATGTAATAAGTATTTACCAATATCATTTTAAACCTTATTTTATAAGCAATGCATTATTTTTAATTTGCACTTCTAAAATCAACAAGACTATTGGCAGATATATATTGAACCTGCTGCAGAGGTGAAATTTAAATCATGGAAAACGTTAAAGGTGTTTGGTGCTGGTATTAGCATCTTTTGACCAAGAGCACATTATCAAAACGGATAGAATCAAAGCTGAAATCCTTATAAAAGCAGTTTTTGTTGATAAAGACTAGCCACTAGGTCTTGAGTTGTATAATTCACCAGACTAATGGTTAATTTTTGATATTCTAAGTCGTAGTTTAAGAAATTCCTACAGATGAGACTCCCTCAGAATTTTTGGGTACAATGAATTCCAAAACTTTTAAAATCATTTAAAGTTGCTAACAACTCATCAGCACTGACAGCAAAATCGTAAATTTATTAAGCATAGTTTAAGAAATTTATTTCTTAAAACAAGAAATATATAACTTGTTTTTAAAAATAAATTGCAGTGTAGGATATTTATTTCTTATAACATGAAACGTATTTTTTGTTTTAAGAAAAATATTTCCTAATAAAAAATTCAATTATGGTGTGCTTACAGTAAAATTTATTCAAGATAATGTAGAGCGTGTGATGAGCAAAGAGAAGCTTCAGAAGCTACTTCAAATAAAGGGTTCTTGTAAAAAAAAACATTAAAAAAAAAAGATGAGTGGATTC